GACGAATTGTCGAGGAAGCTGGACCCTTCAGTGAATTCGACGGAGCTTTGCCCAGGAACAGGAACAATTTCAACAACATCCTTCTCAACTAGAACTGATGTTGTAATTTTCATACCCTTTTTGATGAGCTGGATGGCCACACTAGCTGATGGAACAAAATATTTCAATGAAGTCAAGAATACCTAGCCAAAGAGAAGGAAGAAGAAATTCAAAGGTCAGTGAGAAATAAGGAAGCACGGACTCAGACCAAGGAATAAAGGAATATGTATAAAACTAGGACCTGGTGGTATGAAATGCCGACTACGAATGGAGAATTCGTGGTCGGCATTTCATCGAGATAAAGGACGTGTATAGCGACTGCGTAATGTGAGGGGAAGGGGGGATGAGCGGGGGGTGAGCTAACGATACTCGTTTTCCTGGATGAGAGCATTTGTAGTTGATATTTTGGGAGTTTCTGGAATTAAACGAGTTGCCATCTCAAAGCCTAATCCAAAGTATTCCCTCCAACGACTCAAGGCAATTTGTTTTTCTTCTTCTTGACGAATTACAAGCAACCGTAAACTAAAGCATCTGGTGCGTAATTTCCATTGGGCTAAGGAGTCACTAAGCGTGAGATTTGGGTTAGCTGATACCACTTTTACCCGACAATATACATTGCGGGGACATCCATTCCGCCGCGATAGTTTTATTCAGCGGACGACTTGGCACGACGCGCGCTAGATTTGCACGGAGCTAAGAAGATACTAGGTTCTTAATTCGATTCCAGTGCATTACACAGTTTTTAAAGAACATTGGACAATGAACTGTGCGCGCAACTAGCCTTTTTTTATTTGCCCTGCCTAGAGATTATAGGTCGTTTTACTCATTGTAACTACCATTTAGCGGCATTGCAAGCCTATCATAATGTGCATTACGATAGTGCAGTTTAAAAGCATTGTAACGAGCGCCATTTTGGATTTAGTTCGCTGTTGATTAGTGTTCTCTTGACATTGATAGTGTGGACCTTTTGGCGTAAGCTTTTTGGATATTTGAATGATAGCGTAGCAAAAGAGTTGGTTCGACGCATTCTAAAAAAAAAATTATAAACATTGCGGGCAGCTTATTGACTTGTTCGTTGATCAACCTAGTTTAGCCGAATTGTAGGAAATTGCTTATAACTGTTGAAAGTTCTGGAATTTTTGACTTCGGGAAAAATCATCGTGGCCTGAGTTTTTGACACTTACGCTTAATCTGCGTAACACTCAATATGGTCATTGACTATAGCACGCGGTAAAGACGTTTCGTTTATCAGTTGGAGGAAACAAGCTTTTAAACGGGTGTTGATAAACTGCGAGCCATGCGAGACAGATGTTAGTTCCCACTCCATTTTCCTTTCTTCGGCTTTTGGCTATTTGGCACGATTTTTCGCTAATCCTCGCTCTCCTTTCAATATCGTATGTTATCTGCCTTCATCTTTTCCATCTTTTGTTAAGGTAAGTTTTGTTCTGTTTTGTTTTGTTTTTTGTTTTTAACATTTTGAGATTTGATGTTTTATTTATGAGTGTAGTCGTAAACGATTGAAAATTCATGCATATCATTTACATGCTATTACCGATTCATGGAAAATCGACGCCTGCAAAGCCTCCTGGAGGCCACTAAGCGGGGATTAACACTTCGTTATGACCCGCCTGCTTCGAAAAATCTATGTTTTTATCGTTGTCTGTCAAAATTTGTCGATGTAAAAGAGGAAGACATCGTCCAAATGGTCCAAAGGCATTTTCTGTGCAATCAAATCGTAACATGTGCCAACGAGGTGAGATTTTTATCTTAACACGCACGACGGAGGGTGTAATTTGCAGGTCGCAAGTTGCAGGTTGTAGGTTGCAGGTTGCAGGTTAAAGTACGCGGCTAGTGATTTACTGTTTACGCAAACCGGAAATATCTTTTTTTTTTTGATTTGTATCCGAAGCCCTATAGATCAAAATTTCACGTTTTTAAAGCAAAAAAAGGTGATGGTAGGCCCTCACGACTTTTACCTCATTGCAAAATGCTGCTTCTTTTTATAAAGTATTCTAATTACCTCTGCTAGGTATGTTATGCTCGGGAAGGTAGCATTTTTACTGAGCTGATGTAATTTTAGCCGCTTATGTCACATTGATAGGTAATTGGACACAGATCGATTTACTCTGGTTTTTGTTGATTTCCTCTCTGATGCAATAGCGTTTTCTTATACCTCCTTTGAAGCGTAAGGCTTTCTATTACGGCTGAATAAGGGTTGAACTTTTCTCCAAATTGTATTTTGGATGTTATTGACTAGGCGATCTTCTTTAGTCCGTGAATGTAGAGTTCTAACGCTGGGCCCAGCTTGTTAGTTTTCTTTGCAGAATGTTAAATTATCACGTTTTGTGCATGATTTCAGCATGATTTACAGATCCAATATTATAACATTGAAGTGCAGCTTAAACGGAAGCTACATCAACTATGGATAATTGCTCTGTGACTTAGTAAACTCCAGCTTAGTTTTTTCTGTGACTTGACTGGAGAGCGTAGTCCCTTTCTTTGACGATAGCTTTTGAACAAGCTTAGCAGTCTTTGGAAAGACAGTATAAAGAACTTTAGGGTTAACCGCGTACTAGACTGCAAAACAGTCGGTGATTTTCTAAAAATCGGTCTCGCTCTCCGTACCTAATACGCAAAAACACGGACTGTTTCTCATTCTTCAACCTGCTACCTGTAACCTGCGACCTTCAACCTGCAACCTGCAAATTACACCCTCCGCACGCTCGCAGATTTGAGCAAACCATTGAGTAACTTTATTTGACTGCTGAGAAGTCTCTGAAATGTAACTCGATATGATAATTTCAAAAAAAATGGGAGTGAAAAACGGTGAAGTCGGTGAAGGGTGCTTTATGCTGAAGGCTGATCCATGTGGAAGAAAACAAACAGATGGAAAAGGTGGCAGTGAAAACTATTCGCTGGAGGTATACTTAAAAGAGCTGTGTCACGAAATTTCCCAAAATTCAGACAGTGGAAACTACCACAAAAGTGAGTGAAACACAAAAATAAATAAAGAAAGAAAGCATGGATCAACAAACTTGAAGAAGATTGAAATGGATCACAATAATATTGTCCTTTTTGAAAACTTGTTAGCCTAACAGTTTGCAAAGTTCATTTCTGTTGTTTGTAACAATAGATATAAATGTTTGGAGAACATAATTATGTGTTTGACACGAAGCATTGATTTTGTTACCTACAAGTAATTTCCTCGATCAATTCGGGGAAGCTGGGATGGGAAACGCAGCTGAACTTGGCATCCATGACACAGCTTTTTTAAGCTCAATTAAATTTCTAAAGCTATACAGCATGTTTGATCATGCAAGAATGAGTGTGGAGTGAAAAATTAAGAAAGGGAGTGAACTGAAATAGTTTATCAGTCGTATCTTTTATTGCCGTACCCTTAATATGATATCCATATGCTTTATTGTTTGTTATGCAGTTTGGAACATCAGAAACACAGGACCTGATGCAGTTCCTTTCTGATACAGACTATCCTTCTCTGAGAAATCGCCAAGCACATGGAGAGATTGTGTCTTGGCCTTGAAGGATGAAATGGCGACTCATGTTGTCATAAGAGCAGCAGCAACACTGCTTTCTCTTAATGTCAATATCATAGACTTTTTACCTTTGCGGCTTATTTTAATAAAAAACGTGCCTTAAGCACGTTGAAGAACTGTTTTACCCTGATTGGGAATACAGCGACCCATACCAGGACTACAACATACGTAACAAGCGACTTCAAAATCTTAAAACACGTGGGAATAACTCACGTGATATTACGTAACGAAACAACCGGAAATGAAAATAACGAAACAGAATTAAAATGTAGTCACACTAGCCCCTAAATGGGAATGAAAACAGTCACATTTCCATGCAAAGAAACGGGGCTACCAACTACAACTAATACATGAAGGTTTCATGTTTCAGACAACTGTTCTGTTCGCAAAGTCCTAAAGGTTGTAAATAAACAAGTTTTAAACTTGACTGTTCAAAGTCACATCCGCAAGTTCCATTCGGCTCCGTAAGCCATATTAAACTTTCAAGATTAACCTAAACTGTTTAGTCCATTTCGAGCAAACATAACTTGGTCACTGGGCGTGTCAGCACAGTCGTACTTTCTTCGATCAGAGGCTCTCCCTTGCGCTGTCGTTTAGCGCGTGTCGCAACCGTGCAGCTCGTCTTCACTTTCACTGTGCCCACTAATCTGTCTCGACTAGGCATGACCTCTACAACTCGCCCAAGCGGCCATTTGGCTCCAGGGAAGGACTTATCTACCAACAAGACTAAATCACCGACCTCCAAGTTTCTTCTTAGCTTGTTCCAGTTTTTTATTTCTAACAAGTTTGGAAGGTGTTTTTGTGTCCATCTGAACCAGAACAAATTAGCTAAATACTGTGCTTGCCTCAAAGCGCGTCTACAGCTGAGATCATCTTTATCAAATATTCCCGTGGGTAAGTCTGGACACGGGCGTAAATGTAACAAATGATTAGGGGTCAGTGGCTGCTCATCAAGGGCACTGTCACTATTCCGAGTAAGAGGCCTGGAATTTAAAATGTTCACCGCCTCTGCCAGCACAGTTGAAAGTACTTAATCAGAGACTAACGCTCTTTTAGAATGGCCTTCAAGATCTGTCTCACGGAACGTATCATCCGCTCCCATGCACCACCCATGTGGCTCGCTGAGGGCGGATTAAAAATCCACTCGATCCTTTTCTATCTGCAGAAATTGTTGATCTTGTGTTGATTCCACTCCTCTATAGCTTCTTTTAGCTCCTTATCTACCTTTATGAAGTTACTTCCTTGGTCGCTCCTTATTTGCTGTGGATAGCCACGAACGCTAATGAATCTTCTAAGGGCATTAATCATTGAATCGGTGTCTAAGCAGTGGGCTATCTCGATGTGCACAGCACGTGTTGTTAAACAGGTGAAGAGACAGCCATACCTTTTAACACGGGACCTTCCTTGCTAAACTTCAAGCGGTCCAAAATAATCAACACCGATGTAAGTGAAAGGTGGTTTCTCAGGTACGAGCCTCACTTCTGGTAAATTTGCCATGAACTGCTCCCAAGGGCATGCACTTTTTTGCCGTTGACAAAACATGCATCTTCTTAAAACGCGCCGCATCGCTGATCTCCCTTTCACAATCCAAACCGTCTCTATCAAGGACGACAAAACAGATTCTTGTCCCATATGACCCAAGTTTTCATGACACTGCTTAATAATGAGGTCAGTCACATGATGCTTGTATGGGAGGATGATAGGATGCTTCCTTTCATCACCAAAGGGTGCATTGACTAGTCGACCTCCGACTCTCAATAGGCCTTCTTTGTTCTGTGGATTCAGCTGACGTATTGATGTACCAGCCTTCTTTAAAACCTTCGGGTACCTCCTGTCCTCACAGCACTCCGTTGCTGAAAGCACATCAATGACTTCTGGAAAGGCCACTTGTTGAACACGTTTGAATATTTCTCTTTCGGCTATTTGAAGCTCTGCGATTGTTAAATGGCCACAGTTCATCAAATGCATTTTAATAGACTCGACTGAAGAGCCACTTGCAATTGGCGCATTTCTTCTTAACAGAACTTTCATTTGCAGATACTGTTTGTAACGTAACAACCACGTAATAGAGCATTTCAATCTCCACCAACAGGAGTAGAACGAAATCAGGTCATCCAGAACATTACTTTGAACAGTGGAGACATAAATCTGAGCCTCTTTCCTAACTTCTTCATCATCGTCTCCTAAGACAGGAACTTTGATCATGTTGGGCCAGTAACTCTCGTCTTCCCACAGGAACTTGGGGCCCTTTAACCAACGGTCATCCCTCAACATGGTATCTATTTTGAGACCTTTTGAACCATCATCAGCAGGGTTATCGTCCCCGTTCACATATCTCCACTCTGAGGGTTTGGAACTATTGAGTATCACTGTTAGACGATTAGACTCAAATGTATGGAATCTCTTTGACTCATTGTTGATACACTTCAACACGGAAGTCGAGTCACTCCAATAGGAAACGCGGTCTATTGTCATGTCTAACTCTTCTTGAATAATCTTAGAGAGCCTTACGGAGATGACAGCAGCTGTCAGCTCCAATCTTGGAATCGAAATCTCACGTATGGGAGTCAATCTTTCCTTTCCCATCACAAATGCGCAGTGAACTTGGTTGGTCACATCTTTCAAACGGAGGTATGCAACGGCTGCATATCCTTGACGAGTAGCATCCGAGAAGAGGTGTAACTGTACATCTTTAACTTCACCAAATCCCTGAGGTTTGAAACAGCCGTCTACCTGTATTTGATGCAATTTTGGGAGATCATCCAGCCAGCGCTTCAATTGTTCTTTGTCGGTTTCTTCTAACGTATCATCCCAACCCAGCCTCTTTCTACTGAGCGTTTGCAACAACAACTTGGCGTTCATGGCATATGGTGCGATGAATCCCAGAGGATCAAACAGGGAGTAAACAGCTGACACAATTCCTCTGCGTTTCACTGGTTTCTGACTCACTCTCTGCAACATCTTCTCCATTACTTCCCATACAAACTTGTCTTCTTCTATGTTCCATTTTAGTCCGAGAACGCTCTCTGTCGGGAGTTGCTCGAGTTCTAAATTCGCCACTGATTTGGCTCTTTCGGACTCTGGTATTGTCGCCATCACTTCTCGGTCGTTACTATACCACTTAGTCAAGCGGAATCCACCTTTCTCTAGCAACATCCGCAGCTGACTTGCTAAACTGATTGCCTTCCCTGTGGTGCTTGTCGACTTCATCATGACCTCTACATACATATTGCGGTTCACTGTCTCCACTACTTCCTTTTCAAATTCTTCCTGATACGACTGCGCTGTCTTTCTTAGACAGAAATTAGCGACACACGGCGAAGATGTAGCACCAAACAAATGTTTAACCATTCGATACTCCTTCATTTCCTTTCTCAGGTCCCCATTTGGCCACCACAGAAATCTTAAACTGTCATGGTCCTTTGGGTCCACCAAGACCTGATGAAACATTGCTTCAATATCAGCAACAATTCCAATAGAGTTCTGTCTGAAACGACTTAAGACACCCACTAATTGATTTGTCTGATCCGGGCCCTGCAGCAACTGCTGATTTAGAGATGTCTGTCCAAACTTTGCTGCACAATCATACACCATTCTGACTTTGTCGGGCTTCAAAGGGTGTGTCACTGGGTGGTGGGGGAGGAACCACACTGGTCTGTTCCTTGTATTTAATTCTTCTTCAGGAACCATTTCTGCGTGTCCCTTTTTGATGTAATCATTCATTGTCGTCCGATACTTCTCCAACAAATCTTCATCCTTCATAAGACGCCTCTTAAGAAGCAGGGCTCTTCGTTCTGCCATTGTCTTGTTGTTGGGAAATTTACGGTGGGTCACGTCGCCAAGGCAAAGCAACTTGAAAGTGTCCATTGACTTGTTGAAGGGACCCTTCCATGATCTCTAGGGCTCTTTTGTCTTCAACCGATGCACAAACTTTAGTTTCTACTTCCGTGTTTTCAAAGTCTGTTTTCCATAATCTCTCCAATTGCTGGTGTAACTCTTCATCACGTATTTCACTTTCAACTTTGCTGAACAATGACAAATTGGTATCCTTCTGACCAGCTAACTCATCGGTGAATTGTTCATTAAGGTCGTCATTATCTGGTTCCTCGCTTAATCTACCTTCGATTGGGCTGGGACATACATGTTCATCTCGCAGGACAGGAACATTGTCATAAACAATAGAACTCTCTATAGTACGGGTGAAATTTGCGGAACAATTTGGTTCATCCTTTTGACAATGAACAGGACCAATTACAGTCCATCCTAAACTATATCTGACCGCTACTGGTTCATCTTCTCCTCCTGCCTTGTACTCTTGAGGCAGGAACAAACTTGGTTTCTCCTTGAGACCAAACACCAACATAACTTCTCCAACTTCTAATTCTTGTAATTCAATATCGTACAAGTGAGACCATCTGGCTAGATCTCCTTTCTTGACAATACAGTCGCTTGAGATTGGCATTTGTTTCACTGTTCTAACATTTGGCAACTCAACGGACACAGTTTCATCCATTGACGTCACAACGATGTCCAGCAGTTGACGTTCTACCCTTGTGGATCCCGTCATCCCTGATAGTGTAAAGTTGAGCCTTGGACCGCTCACACCAATTTTCTTCGGTAAATGTTCGGGACAAAGAGTTACCGTCGATCCGCTGTCTAACAAGGGATATGTCTCTAGTGGTGGTAGATCACTTCTTTTAGCTTTAACTTTGAGAGGAACGACACTTAAGCACACTCGCTCGCCGGCCCCAGTTGCAGCAGTTACATTAACTCCATCTTGATTGCTTGTCTCAAAATTTGAACCATCGCTTGCGTTCAACCTTAGGCTTCCTCGATTAGGCTGGCTCTTGCTGGTACTACCATTATCAGGTTCAGAGGATGGAGGGTGTAACAATGTGTTGTGCTCCTTATTGTACCGNACATCGAGGCTAACTGCTGCCCTCTTCTTCCATTCGAGCCTCCGTAAACTCCTTTTCATACTGCAATTCTATCATTTTCCGTTTTAATTCTTGCTCCTTTAGTAACTGTTTTGTTTTCAACTGTGCAAGAGCCAATTTCTCCTTTTTCTTCACAACTGACGATGAAAATGAACTAGAATATGACGATTTACTTTCGTGACTTTTCCTAGATTTCCTGGTCAGTGATAACGACCTTTCGCTCAATTCTTTCCATTCAAGCTTTGACTTCTTAATCCAGGACTCAATGACATTGTCAAAGGTCAATTTCCTTGACATTTGTTCATCATAACTAACGCGAGCTTTCACAAGCTCTTCCTCATAACAAAGTAATTCAGACATTCAAGGTACTGTTCCTGCGTACTTACGAATTTGCGCCAAACTTCGTCATACGATTTTCGCTGGGAATTCAAATCCTCCAAAGTTCCACAGTTTTCCATAAGCTCTTTGATGTTTCCTTGTAACTTTGTCAGAGCGCCAATGTACCCTGCTCGAGATTTGAACATGACTCTCGCCCTTTCAGCTCTTTCGCCTTCCAAATCACTCCTTGTATTTACCATTTTTAATCGTAAACTTCTTCCCAATTGCAGGGGAATTACAACACCACCGTCTGACGAAGCTTCTCGCACAGATTTTCGACGAGAGTTATCATGAATAGGTAGTTATTTCACAGACATACTTGTTAATTAGATGCAAGTATTCACTTCAAGCCGTTCCAAATTTGTATGGCGGCGGCAAATATTAAACACGACAGCCCAAACTCATCGAGCGGCGACAACAGCACAAATATACGAGTTTTCTCTCGGTAAAACAGCACGACTTACCAAACTCGTCGAGCAGCTGGAAATTAAACAAGACGTTCAGTCAAGCGACGGTTCACAAACAAGTTCTTTCCTTTCTTGGGAAAACAGCACGACGTTCCAACTCGTCGAGCGGCGGGAAATTAATGCGACGTTCAGTCAACCGGTCGAAGCAAACAAAGTCAATTTCCTCCCTGAGGAAAACGGCACGACGTTCCAAACTCGTCGAAGCGACAACAAACGATTCAAACAGAAGACTTTCCTCTCTGAGGAAAACGGCACGGCGTTCCAAACTCGTCGAGCAGCAACAAAGAATTCAAATAGAAGACTTTCCTCCCTGAGGAAAACAACACTGGAACCTTCCACAAACGGAGCGCTCCAAATTCGAATAAAACAGTTCTTTAACTGTTACCTTTCCGGCTTATTTTAATAAAAAACGTGCCTTAAGCACGTTAAAGAACTGTTTTACCCTGATTGGGAATACAGCGACCCATAGCACCAATCAGATGCCAGAACGACTGCGACCGTTTNTCATTGTATCTGATTTATCATCACGGGTTTATTACGAATCAACTTAATGGCCTGCTCCCAGTTGGCTTGTTAACTCAATTGGTAGAGCGCTGCACTAGTATCGCAGAGGTCAGTGGTTCGAATCCCGTACAGGCCTGATTTTTTTCAGGTCTGATTTTCGCTATAGCATAAATAGCGCTCTCTACTGCGAGGATCGTGCATCATACGTATCTACAAACGCAGTTCAAAATATATGAACTTCATATATTCATTGTATCTTATTTTACTTTGTTTGCAGCTAGAAGTTTCTCCAGTTGTGATAAGCTCAGATGATGAAGTGAACTCTGGATATGTGGATACTGTAAGTTACAACATGTACATGAATAATATTCCTTTTCTATTTAAGTAGTTAGAATAGTTTAGTTTCTTTGTTTTTTAATGTTTTTAGTAGCCAGTTTGTTTTTAGGGGGGATGGGCTGTTAATGGATGAAGACGAAGTCAAAGTCTATAAAGACACACACAAAAAGGCTAACATATCGCCAACTTTACCAAACAAGCTTGGTCAGTAAAGGATTTATTTAATGGCCAATCAAGGCTGTTTGTGAAAAATATGCTGCAAGGTATACTTCATCCTGCCTGTTCCTGGAGCCATCCAATTCATAAATGTCATTATATTGATTTTGTGTTTTAATCTGTGTAAGGAATCTAAGGATTGTGTAGACATTAGCTCAGATGGAAGTGATGTGGTTCCGTTAAACAAGGGGGAGCGAAGAAAGCGCAGAAGACCGAAAAAAGGGGCAGTTAAGGTAAGAAAGAATTTGTAATCTATTATATTATCCTTATTATATTATGACTGCATATATTTCCCTGATTGGTTGCATATCTTCGTTGGAAGATCGAGACATTACACATCTAAAGTGGTAAATATGGGTGTGAGATTATCAGACTTTTGATAACTGCTGCTCTGTGCTTACATGTCTTGCATGCAGAACCTGGTGCAGACACCAGACACTTTGGGGAGTTTCTGAAAATGCAGTACAGTGTATGTGTTGTAGTTTAATTTGCACTTTGGTACAATTTGTTTTTGTACCAGTACAGAATATATTAAACTGAAAAAAATATTTTGTACCAGTTCAATATATTCTGTACCAGTTCAGAAACAAATGTACCAAAGGAAAAAAATTGTACTACAACATATGTACTTTCTAATTCTCACCAACATGTGAATCAGGCATCAGGTTACAATGGCGTGTCTGTCATGTTCCATTTATTAAATGCAAATAAATTGTGTTTATTTAGCCTACGTGTTTATGCATCGTCATGTAATATAGAAATCCCAATGACATGACTTGAAGTATTGACTCTACCTAAAATAATGGGAAATTGTTCTTTTTGATAATAATGACGATACTAATAACTGTACTGTATTTATCCATTTCTCCTTTATTAGGAAGAGTCTTCTGTTGAAGACCTCGTCACCTCGATGAGTGGCCTTAGTTCTACTGATAATACTCCAGTCAAGAAAGGTAAAAGAGTTGAGAGGAATGACAGCAAGTGGAGCAAACAGTTGTTTTCGGAAGATGAATAAGTACATTCCAGCAGGCTTTCTCAGTTTGTGATTAACGTGTAAAGGGTTAATGAATGGTACGAAAACCAAAGCTTTTCTGAGTGTAATTTTTACCCCTCCCCCTCCCCCACAAGCTAAACGGGTGGTTTGAAAACATTTTAAACAAGCTTGACTCTTTCAGAATTTCTTCTTGTGATTTTTCTTAGACATTTCACTCAATGGACTTCAAATGTTCCCTTTCGCAGCCGAAAAAACTAAGATTTAACAGAAAATGTAACCCCCCCAACCTTGCCCTTCATCTCTGAAGTTCTGCATAAAAGTTCACCAAAAGTATGATTTAAGTTCATGGCATGGTTAAGTTGGCTAATTAATTCTGCATAAAATATGGAAAATCGCCATTTTATCTGGGGGAGCCCGTATCTCCCACGGAATGAAACATTTTGACCTTATCTTTTGCCACCAGTAGCAAGTTGTGATACCAAGCATTTGTGCCAAGTTTGAGCAAAATCGGTGATTTGAGCATTATCACCTCCTGCTTGGTTCCGCCTGGTTTTCTCATGGAAACACTCTTAATAATTGTTAGAGGGAACCCTGACTGGGAAGGGGCCTTAGTCGTACACAAGTTGCTATGAACAGGTCGGTTACAAAATGTATATGTACGTTATGATTCTTTGCTTTTTAGGGATGATGATGATGCTATCTTACAAAGGGGAAACAGATGTTACATTAATCAAGAAAATGTTGACAATATGGTGGCTGTGCAGGTGGCCAAAGTACCCACCAACCCTTGTGGCCCAGTTAAATACGATGTGGACTGCAATGAGAAGGACCCCCTGTGTAACATATCTGACAACTGGAATTGGGACCGTGCGCAACCCTGTCAACGAAAAGGTTTCTGCAAGGGCGAAAGACGAACCTTTCAAATGTGCCGGGGTTCCTTGGAATCCCAGAACCCTAAATGCCAGTGCC